ATATTACATTATGAAACAATATTTTTTAATATACCGGGTCGTCTCAAAAGTGGCTCAACCCTATAACTTTTTTTTATTTTTTCAGATAAAAAAGAGATTTGTATGTTAGTAGGTATATGACATAAATTAGGATTTATTGACGTATTCAATTGTTTTTGGTCTCTTCCTGTTTCACCGAAATGATTACATCTTTTGATTTTTAAAGGCACCCTCGGTATATTGCTACTTTATTCGATAAAAAATGACACTCTGAATAGAATGACATATCATATGCCAACTTTTGACATTGTCGCTTAAAAACATATCCTATTTTAAATTTCAATCCAGTTTTTTTCAATCCACTAAGTTTTAATCAAGGAGCCTTGGAAAAATAGTTTTGATCGTCTAATAGGTTTCGTGTCTTGTCTAGGCCGGTTAAAAGATGTACAAATCGTATTTTTAATCATACATATGTCAATTTTTCAAATGGAACAAGGGTGACTCATTAGCATATTTGGAAAAAGCATTTTTTTATGAATATATTGATACCACACACTTGGTATTTCGAGTGAAATTGTCGTTATGAACCGCGTGTTACAATTACAATTAAACCATATGCGAAAATGTCAAAAGTTGACATATGATATGTCATTCTATTCAGAGTGTCATTTTCTATCGAATAAAGTAGAAATATACCGAGGGTGCCGTTTAAAAATTAAAAGTTATAGTCATTTCCGGTGAAACAGGAAGTGACCAAAAACAATTGAATGCGTCAATCAATCCTAATTTATTTCATATACTAACATACTAAATCTTGTTTTTTTATTTGAAAATATAAAAACATTATGGGGATGAGCCACTTTTGAGACGCACCCGGTATAATAAAGACAGTACCGAGTTAAATAAATGTAGTTTTTATTTTATCCACTTCCTATCACCTTCCTTGCTTTAATGGAACAGATTTATGTTATCTCTAATTTACATAATAAGACATCACTTAACCAGAAAAAAAATTACAACAATCATATTTTTTTTCTCTCCCTGTCGCCGATTCTATTATATCTGTGGAATAGATCCTGTTTTGATTAATATTAGGGGTTGTAAATGTTTGACTAAAATTAATAATTTATTATTAATTTCAAAAATTACCTAATTTCGATTATAAAATTTCTTCAATAACGTGTATTTTATTATTTTTATCCTTTTTGGACTCTAAATTGTTTTTTCTAAAGTTTTATTTAAAAAACCTGTCCTAAATCTTAATAAAATATAAAAAAGTTTAAATACGATATATTTTTAATTTAATTATAGCTTCATTAAAATAAAAAATTACCCGGCTATGATACGGAGAGTTCAGGTGTACTTGAGAAACGAAAGACAGTGTTGTGTTTCTCGGCAGAGTCGTCAGGGAACGACCGTTACGACAGAGACAACCTATCTATCGCTCGTGTCGCACTCGTTATAACCTAAAACAATAACACAACAATAACAAGACAGTGTCTGACCGCATGTTCCAGCTATTTATGAATGAGATGCTCAGTCTATATTTTATTTTAAGTCTATGGTTCAACATTAATTTTGATTCGCCCTGCGAAATTCACGATAATGCAATTTTATCGTCGTGTAGAAAACAATATTTTTTTCCATAGCGAGTTACGTTTTAAAAAATATTCAGAAATTATTATTTCAAGGTTTCTATGTAATTTGACAAATAAATAAAGCTGTCTCTTTAGTTGTCAGTTTTGAGTCAACATTTTTTAATTCTCTTTCGTGTCGTTTGCTGATTGAATTGGAGCCAGAAATGGCTCAAAACGAAATAAGTAAATTACCAAGAGATATTCAGGCTGAGGTGACTAAAGCAGGGCGCTCATTGAGTCGGATCGGATCGGATCGGCACGGAACAGTCCTGTCGGAATGATTTGAAATACGTTTGACATCCGCGCACTGCTTCAGTCCCGCTCGGCAACGTCCATCATCGGTTGGCTTCGGAATCAGACTTTTTTGGTAGAAAGAACAAAAAATTCCGAAGGTCCGATCACTTTTCTCGTTGTGTTTGATGTAAACAGTGTGTACTACCTTGTAGTTGATTATTTTGTGTGCTGTATTGTTTACAATGGATAAAGAACTTTTAATTGATACTGTTAAAGAATATCCACACCTCTATGATCAAGCTAGTAATTATTATCATTACAGTTCACGAAAGGAAAATGCCTGAGAAGAAGAAGATGAAGAGCTCATATTATATAAATTATTAAGTATTGTTTATAAAATTCTAATCCGAACTAAAATAAACTACACGCCACAAAAATTATATTTCGACTGATAAACTGAAGCATACCGATTTGGTGAACGGGTGTTTCCGGACTGAACGATGCCGTGCCGATCCGATCCGACTCAATGAGCGCCCTGCTTTAGTCACCTCAGCCTGAATATCTCTTGGTAATTTACTTATTTCGTTTTGAGCCATTTCTGGCTCCAATTCAATCAGCAAACGACACGAAAGAGAATTAAAAAATGTTGACTCAAAACTGACAACTAAAGAGACAGCCATATATATCCAAACTACTTCCATTTAAATCCCAAATAACTTATGAAAAGGAATACAAATTTTCAAAAATGAAAGCAATTAAAAAACGTGCGAGAAGAAATAAAGTTTTTAACCTATACTCGCTGTTAAAGTATCATTTAATCTACCCTTGCGGTTAAAGTACTACTTTAACTACTATTTTTGATAAAGGTAACTTTAACAGTTGCTATGGAAAAAAAGCATAAAGTGTAATCGAAACCACTAATTTATTCCACTAATTGCGAGGTTCTGAATGAAGCTTAACTTTTTCTACTAATTGAAAATATCTACCACTATTTTTGACGTTACATTGACTTACATTGAAATTAAAGGAACAAACTTCTACGCTAATTGAAACCACTAATTGGAGGTTCTCAATGAAGCTTTTTCCCCTGTCGGGCTACATCTAAATTTCTAACCAATTATCTGCACTTATCTAAGATGCACTCTGTATAACGTGACCTATTTTTTTTCTAGGAACGGTTTAAAATTGAAAATCAATTACGGAGTGCTTAGTCTAGAACCACCGCCTCCATTGCCGGATAGATAGGCTAATGACGGAGTACTACCGAACGGCAAAGTCCCCTAATACAGTTAAGCGGCCTGTATTATATTATACCATTTACGTTTTATGCAAAATAAAACAATTTGAAGGCGCGTGTGGCTAAAAATGGCAGACGCCATCTGGAAAATTGCCGGTTATTATATTGAAATGATTAAGAGGCACTTCCTTCTTCCTTTGCCTGTTCCATTTGGACGATTCTAGTGGTTTATTTTTGAAGATGTCGATGGAAATGTAGTATTAATAGAAGTCAGTTAAATTCGGGAATTTTTAATGTTTTTTAAGACACTGTGTAGACTGATCAAATGATAATTGAAGACATTCTGTAGCCTCAAAGCACAGATTATACAGATTATAAACTTTGTTTTTTCTTTGTTGTTTTTCGTGGTTCCAATTTTCGGAATCGGGTACTAGTTAGGTTAGTAGTTTGCGCACAAATCTGTAAAATTTTTAGGGCTTTTTGTGGACAATTCTCTGAAATGGGACATACATATCGAAGCTTTGTCGAAAAAATTGAGCTCTGCCTGTTTTGCATTAAGGTCTGTTTCTAAGGAGCTTAACTTGTCAGTGGCTAGAACTGTTTATTATGCACTTTTTGAGTCGCACCTCAGGTATGCCCTTCCATTCTGGGGTACGTGTTTCTAAATAACGTTTAAAAATTGCTTAAATGGGCATGTGCGAGTATTTGACATCCGGGGCCTAAAACGGCAGATCTTTTAATTTAGGGACTGTTTGAATTGTTTTAATTATTACTTGAGTTTTATTAGGTATTTATGATATTTAAGTTGCTGGGATTAGTTTTAAACAATAAATATGGCTTCTCAATGTAGATTCCACCTCTTCCAATCGAACCTATAAAAGAGGCTTAGGTTTACAGCAGATGTTAGCTTAGCCCTTCTAAGAGAATTTGTTGCTTATTGTTATACAACTCGAAAAGTTAATACCACCTGACGTAAAGGATATAACACCTGGCCTTATTAACGTCCATGCACGCATTGATTCGGTTTACTAGACAATCTCTCTATTACGCTGTTTATTGTTGAATTGACGCGAGTTTGTTTTTGAAAACACAGGAAATTTTACTCGTTTGCACATCGTCATAAAAGACAATTTTCGTACCACGAATTAGGGATAAGATTTTTATCTGTCTACATATAGTAACCTAATCTGTGCTCAAAGAGTTTTACAAATATTCTCCTTTTTTATTCATTCTGATATCTCAATTTTTAGAGAAGATACAGGGTTTTATAGACGTTACATTCGAATGTCCGAAAAAGTAGCAAAATAAGCGTTCAGCATTTAACGTTTTATGTAAAACTGGCTAGGTATTTTTACTCAAATAAAGAAGGAAATTAAAGATAAAGGCATTCATTTAGACAACATTTAGCACATTTTTAGACAACTTCTTTATTTTAAGATTTTGATGGTCAATCATCAACAAAATATTCCTTATGCTTGGACTAAATTTTCTCAAAAATAAAGATACAATTTAAAATTCCGTTACAATACGGAAATAGATTGAAGTTTTGTGGTTGCAGTGATATATAATTTATATGGTTTTGTAACAAATTGTTTGGTATTTTATGTCAAATGCTGAAGCTCTGCAAACATTCATCAAGTCTTAATCAAAGAACGTGTGTTTGGAATTTTAGAGGTGACAACACAACAGGATCGGGCTAAACCTGATTTCTGAAGTATAATATATACTTTATGAAATATAATATATACTTCCTTCGGTCACACACCCGAACAGACTAATAGACTCTTAAATCATGGAATCTACGATCATTCTATGATCATGGATCCCATCCTTATAACATGGACTTATGATGACATTATCAAATTAAACAATAATGCAAAATGTGTTTCCATAGTTTTCATCTGACACAATCCCTGACAGAAACATTCAAAACGTCAAAACACAGTCAAAAACAAAATTTCTGTTCAATTCTACTTTTTCTTTGAATAGAGTTTTTCTCAATTGATCGAAAAATATGTTGGCTTACTATGTGGCATCTGTACTTTTTGCCACCAGCCTGACTATTGTCATATTTTTATTCGTCACGTCGGGCAGTTTGAAACAGTTTAAGGAAACATGGTCACAGAGGGCTCCGAGGATTACCGAGCTGCCCATCATAACACCCACTGGACAAATCGTGAATTCTGTTGAGGATCTGGATATGCAGTTGGAATTTTTGGAGAATCAGTTGGAGGAGAAAGAGGTATCAGTTAGTTATCTCAGAGAAATAAGTAAATCTAGAGGTGTCAAGGATCCCCACCCTAGAACCCTTTGTTCGTCTACCTTGTATGAATACATGGATAGCATTATGCTCTATTCTTAATTTTTTTTATTCGAGGGCACCAAGCATATAGTATTAGTCTAGGTACTATATTAATTTGTGTTTTTTTTAGAAAGAACTTGAAGAATCAAAGACAAAACAGTTGGCAACTTGTGAAAAACTGGACAAGTTGACAGATACAACCAACCAGATCAAGAAATATTATATCAAGCTCAAATCGGAAATCTACAAATCGGAATCAGAAGTAATTATATCCTAGTTTCATTTTTGTACAACCAAAAAACTTTAATATTGCTGTTCATGTTATATACACACACCGAAAAAGTCTAGGGATATTATAATTTTATCCAGCCATTGTCAGTAATTTTATTATTTGCATTTCTGATATAATAAAATTAAAATAAACAAATAGTTTACAGGACGTATTGGAAATAAAAATGCGAAATTTACCGAATTTTTCAAATTTACCTTGATTTTTATTGAACTCAAAAAAATACACACGTTTTTTTTTATTCTGAACTGTGAATTAAAAAAAAAAGATAAAATCATTTTTACTTAATAAAGGCTATGGCCTCCTCTACTGTTCATTACAGCCCTACATCGTCTCTCCATGCTCCTGATCAGGTTGTCGATCTCTTCTTGAGGTACAGCCGGCCACGCTGCATTCACGGTCCGAACCAGATCCCTACGAGTTTCACGAGGCATACCCATTCTCAAAATTCTTCTTTGGACCGCGTCTCATACGTGCCCGATGGGGTTGAGGTCAGGAGATTGTGCCGGCCAGGGTAAGATTAATTGATGAGCATTGATAAACTCACTTACCACTCTGGCTGTATGAGGCCGTGCATTGTCATGCATGAGAATGAAGTTTCTCCCAAAATCAATGGCATATGGTAACACGACAGGCTCAAGAATTAAATCACGATATGTGATTCCTGTTAGAAACCTTTCAAGAAAAACAAGATCGGTTTTTCGGCCTAACTGAACTCCTCCCCAGACCATAACTGTTCCACCTTGATAAGGGTGCACTTCCTGAACATGATCCAACCGAATAAGATTTCCCGGTTCTCTCCATACCCTAAGCCTTCTCGAATCTGGATGAATTCCAAAGCGTGACTCATCCGTGAAAAGAACATTTGCCCATTGTTCATTCGATCACTGAACATGATCTTGAGCCCACAAATATCGTACCTCTCGATTTCTCTCGTTAAGGGTTGAGCTCTCCAGGGGCGTCTGCTTCTTAAGTTAACCTCTCTTAATCTATTGCCAACAGTGTCAGGACTAACGGTTACATTATGTGTTTCCTGGAGAATTAAACTAAGCTATGGTGCTGTAAGAGTCGGTCGGCGTCGAGCATTTAATTGTAAAAAATGATCTTGCTGAGGGGTAGTAATGCGATGTCGCCCTGTGTGCCTTTCAGCAACATCACCACTTTCACGGTACCGTGTACTTAATCGCGATATTACACTTTGCGTTGTATTTAATGCTCTAGCTACATCGATTTGGCGCATTCCAGCTTCGAGCATACCCATGGCCCTTAGCATTTCGTCTCTGTTAAGATGTCTACGCTCCATAATGTCGTTTAATACTAAACAGAGTTATTTGAATGAATTCTGGCCAGTTATCATAAAAACATAGCCAGTACAGGTTAAATTCGAACAATTGATGCTAGGTGCTTTTATACATTTGACAAAAAATGCACAAACACTTCTGCAAATATCCCAAATTTAGAAATAACTAGTGTGACTACTTCGTTTCAATCGAAGTAGAAAGAATCGGCCTACAAATATGTGGCTGTTTATTCAAAACATTTATTTTTAACTTTAATAAAATGATATCCCTAGATTTTTCCGGTGTGTGTAGTTTATTCAAAGAGAGGATATTTCTAAGTGACAGTTATGTTCGTCAATTTAATTCATAGGAAAATTCTATTTTCTGTCAATTTTTACATGGCATCTGTCAAAACCTTCCCAGACTCTTTAGGCAAACTTTAATTGCATGATCCTGATATTGTCTTGACTAAAATTTTACAGATCAACGAACTGAGACATCAGATAGAAGATTACAAGAAACGCCAAGTTCGTTTAAGGGAAGAAGTAAACGAGAACGTCAAATATTATACAGGGATGCTCAATAATATCGAAGGAAACGTTGGAAACGATGGATACGAGTTTGTTAAAAAAGCCATTTTAGCAGGTATGCATCTCCGTCTTTCTTGAGACACCCTGTATAATAAGACTAAATAAAACCCAATTTTATAGTAAAAAAACAGAGACTGTAAGGATAACTGATATTTGTAGGATTAGAGCTGTTATACAGGGCGAGTTTTAAATAAGTGCAAATATTTTCAGGGCTGGTAGATCTCGATAAATGAAACATATTTTTTCTTTACCGTTTTTCAAATAAGTCCAAAGTTATTTTACTTTGAAAATAAAAAAAAATACTTTTTGCTTAAATTTTAAGACCCACTGGATCTTTTCAGTTTTTTTTTCTTGTAAATTTAATCTACTATGTTGTCATATTATCAAGAAATTATGTTTTTTAACTAAAAACTAAAAAAAATATATTTTTTTTAAAAAATTCCAATTTTTTTTCCGAAAATTATCTCAGACTTGTTTCTGGGGTCGAAATATTCTACCCCTAAAAATATTTGGACTTATTTAAGACTCATCCTGTATATATTTAAACCTATGATGCTTTTTGTGGTTGATTTTAAACATCTTTTTGAGTGACATACTGTACAGATCTTCTTGTTTGAATAATTTTATGTTTAAGTTAACCGTACAAAATATTATAAGTGTATTTTTTACTGTTTTTCTAACTGTGCATTTATATTATATTATTGTAGACGAAAAGGTACTGTAAATGGTCTGTGGCACCAGCAAAAAGAGAAAAATTGTAGACAAATAAACCTGATAAATCGTACGAAAATATGTCAGGCATGTCATAAAGAAGATGGTAAAAATGATGGAACAATATAAATATAAATTATAGTTATGTATATACTTATACCATAAATTTACTGTAAAAATAAATTACCTTGAAATTGTGGATTGCTTGTCTTCGAATTTGTTTGCATGGCCGTTTAGATATGCACGAGCAGTACCGTTCAATGCTGAAACAAATAAAGAAGAGTTATGGATAAAAAAATACAGTTGTCATATATATTCATTAAGAACCAAAAAAAAAAATTAAAAGTAAATTATTAAAAAAAAAACGTTTTTGTTGTCAATATATCATAAAAATAAATGTGTTTATTAAATGTATTTAAAACAAAACTACACTATATGCGCCTTGGATGTTCACCAAGATGCTGTGGAATGGCAGATGCTGTGGTGTTTCAAACTTTCGTTACTAAAATAACAACATTTTATTTTCTTTCGTATATTACGCAAATTAAGTCTTTAATTTCTTAGCTTAGTAATCAGAAACGGCCCGCATTAGAACAAAATTTATTAAACTTTGAAATAGGTGTGGGAACTAACAGTTTCTACTTATAACCTAAAACACATAACCATATTTCAAGTTTGGTTAAACGAAATATATCTTTAATAACTATGACCGTTTTGTATATATGTGTAGGTATTATTCTGTCTAGTTAATTCCTTTGGGTGAAATTAATGTCTATAATTTCCTAATGCCGTCTTTTACATGCCACGCAATGCTATATTCGAGCTTATCTAGCAAATACCTCTACCAAATAACTCCTTTAGATTATATTGTTCAATGTACAAGACAAAAGGTTATTCACGTTGATATAAATTCTCTATTAAACTGTGTTAAAGATAATTTCATAATCAAGATATTTGTTAATCCATTCCTGTGAATTTGTATTGTAGTAAAATATTTCATAATTTCTATCAACTACTATACATTATACATACATACATATTTATTTAGGAAAGGTTATGGAACAAACGATCATCTTCAAGTAATTAAAGTCCTGATAGAAAAATCTGTGGAATACAACAGGCCCCTAGCTTTGGTGTTCGTTGATTTCCAGAAAGCATTTGACACAGTAGAATTAACATCAATAATAGCAGCATTGGAGCAGGGAAGAGTAGATTATAGGTATACAAGGCTTATAGAATACATATATAGTAATGCCACCACAACTGTAAAACTTCACGAAACAACAGATAAAATTGAGGTAGGCAGAGGAGTTCGACAAGGGGATACTATTTCGCCTAAATTTTTTACAGCTGTCCTTGAATACGCAATGAAATCACTCTCTTGGGAGAATAGGGGCATAGATATCGATGGTGAAAGGTTGACACATCTCAGATTCGCAGATGACATCGTCCTTGTCTCAGATAACATCGGAGATTCAAAGCAGATGCTCGAAGAATTAGTGCAGGCCTCATTAAAAGTCGGTCTCCGGATAAATACGAGTAAAACGCAAATAATGACAAACTTAGTGCTGACACAGAACATCAGAATAGGTGACGCTGACATAAAAGAAACACATATATATATATATAAATATCTCGGGCACGAAATACAAATTGGAAAGAACAACCAAACACACGAGATACAGCGCAGAATAGGTTTGGGTTGGGCTGCTTTTGGCAAACTGCGGGAGACCTTTAAAAGTGATATACCCATATGCTTGAAGAGGAAAGTTTATGAACAATGCGTCTTGCCGGTAATTACATATGGAGCGGAAACTCTAACATTAACGAAAAGTCAGCAGAAAATTTAAGAGTAGCCCAGAGAGCCATGGAGAGAGCCATGCTTGGAATAACTAAAAGAGACAAAATTCCTAATAACACTATCAGACAAAAAACCAAAATTAAAGACATAGTGGAACACGTAACTCGAATGAAATGGAGATGGGCAGGTCATGTGGCGAGAACATCTAAAGACAGGTGGACTAGAAGATTGTTAGAATGGCGACCTCGAGCAGATAAACGTAGCAGAGGCAGACCACCGACACGCTGGACCGATGATGTAAAGAGGATTGCTGGAAATTGGATGATGACGGCCCAAAATCGAGAGACATGGAGAAATATGGAGGAGGCCTACGTTCAGCAGTGGACAACGATGGCTACATGATGATGATGATGATGATGACTATACATTAATTAATAGTCTAATTATTTTTTGTTATTTCGGTACTTCAACATGATTATAAAAAAATTGTAATTGGAAAATGTTGTTGAATTAAAGAAACCATAAAAAGTTGGTAGGCAGTTCTTTTAGTTTCAAAGTAAAGGAATTTTTCCAATTTTCCAATCTCAAAAACTGCGACTTCGACTGATTTTGATGTTATTACAAATTTTGTTGCAAATATTATTCCTAGCTACTATAATTTTGGAGTTACGATTTTTTAAAATTTTTAACCTCCTCCCATACCCCCTTACCAACCCCCCACCCCCACCAAAAACTAATGGCCAGATTCTCGGGTGCCACAGTATTTTTGTGCCAAATTTGGTTAAAATCAGTTTAGCGGTTTTTGAGTTATCGTTTTACAGACAGACGGACAGACAGACACCATGAAAATATTTTGTATTTAGGTCATTTATGACCGAAATAACTCATTTTGAGTGAAATTAAAAAAACTTTTTTTGCCGATCTTAATAGCCTACCATACCTGTTGGTATGGTCTGCTAAAAATTGTAATTGGAAAACGTTCTTCAATTAAAGAAACCATAAAAAATCGTTTTTTTTTTCTTCACTGAGATATTCTGGAAATCCAATTATTTCTAACAAGTTTAAAAACTCGTTTCCTTAAATTTCTGTCCCCAAAATGATCAGCGTAAAATAAAATTTCAGCAATATGTCAACCCCATATCACGTTTTATTAGATTATACTGTAGGTTTTTACACCCCAAATTGCCCTAAGATGAGTTTTTGCGGTCCTTAACTTCCAGCATCTAAGGAGTGATATTATCAGATTCCAGCTGTGATGAAAAGTAAAAAATACAAATTTATACAGGCTGCTACAAATTCGAGGTACGAGGTACGAGGATTCCTCTTATACTTCCGAATGTATCTGTATCTCACAAATTATCAGCTAGAATTAGAATTAGAATAAGTGGGAGGGGGGTTAATCTCTGCGACCTTAGAGATCTATTGTGTCCCCCTTTCTTGAGTTATAACTCATCATACAGTCCCAGGACTTCCTACGGAGACCCGTGTCCCTCACAGTCGAGTAGCTACGACCCAGGCCGGATAGACGAAACGGTAGCTTGTGTCGCCTGTTGGGTTTAGAGGTAGGAGGTAGGCTCCCGACCCTTGGTGGAGGTGGTAGCTTGTATACCACTTGCGGAGGATGGTCTCACGCAAGTGTCAGACACCTCTCCTGTAGTTCTCTTTGGGTTTGGCCCCTTGGAACTTTCATTGTTACTGTTCCCAGTGTCGCTAGGGGGTTTCCCCACAGCTTCACCGGTGATGTTTTTATTACTATTATTATCAGATCTCATAGTGTTCATATGAGTCGCTATCGGTCCACTTCTACAGAGCCCCGCATGTAGAAGTAAGGGGGTAAATACAATGGGGTGCCCCCGGTGCCCCAAGGTTGAGGCTGTCCGTAGCCCCGCCCGGTATCGTTATATGTCTTGGTGCAATTCCCTGGCCACGACACTACAGTCAGGGACAAGATGATGAGTGAGATGCTTCTTAGACCAAGCCAAGTGCTAGAGGGGATTCCCCCCAGCACCAGGAGCTTTCCCACCAACGACAAGGTCTTGCATCTCCTAGGGGAAGAATTATCAGCTAATTTGAAGATCTAAAACTACAGATCAGATAGTCCTAATAAAGTGGATACGAGAATGTGTAATTATTTTCTTGATCTTGTAAAAAGTAACGACAGGAAAAAATAAAATTGATTTTCCAAAAAATCCGTTTTTTTTTTCAAAAAACTCCCAGGGTATTTCCCTGCTGAGCTAAACCAAACACCCTGTGAGATGGTTTTAGTAAAGTAAGGAATTGAAAACCACCTAGTCATTAAAGTGCATCTGTTCTTGATAGTTTGTTTTTTGGTTCATCTCAATAGCTTTATTTTTATATAGGGAGTTAAATTTTTAATTTAAAAATATGCTAAAAAATTTAAATAATTTACCTACAAATTGCTTTAAAAATCATCAAAATCAGCCGACTAGAACAAAATATACTGAACTTTTAAATACATGAAAATTTCAAGGTGAGTGCATTTTGTCTCAAATATTTAGAATACATTCTGAAACTATACTAAAGAATTTGAATACAATTACAGAAAGATTCTTATACGTAAATGTATGTGTAACGGCGACTATTGTTAACTCACAGCGGTGTACTATTAACGAGTGAAGAGCTACAATAACTCAGACAGCTCCCCTATACAAACATAGGTTAGGTATTGGACACGACGCTCTACACAAAATTCCCGGAGAAAAGCGCCATTTTGTTCGCGACAACTTTATGTGCACCACTGTACACGCTATGGAAATTCCAACTGCATAGACATCACTAGTATACCTATACATATAAGAAGAAAATCTTGGAATCGTTCTAAATATACAGGGTGTCCTGTTTGGTACAGAGAGATATTCAAGAGATATTAGTAGTTTTACAAAGTTTGTGTAATAGAACTTTGATATTCCTTTAATGTTTTGTAGTAGTGTGTCGAACACTGATAGATACTGATTTGTTGATGTTGCTTTGAGAAACTAATCCTGCCTTATAAGTATGTAGATTAATGTAATTTTAGAGAATCAAAATACTGTAAAACCGAGACTCAAAATAGTGTCTTAGTCTGATACAGGCTTGGAGCATTTCAGTTGATTTAAAAAAATTCCGACCGCAGAGCTCTATCCGGCAAAAATCACAAATTTTTACTATGTACTGCACTCTGACCCGGTTTAGTTTATAATCATCAGCTGATGATGCTAACATGGTTAGCGAAACGCGCGTCCAGTGTAAAAGTAAAAGTGTTTTGGTGTATTGTGGTGATTTAGTGTTTTTATTTTGCTGTGTAACACCAGAGGTTCCAACCCTCAACTGTAAGTACCTGGTATTTTAGTTTTTTGCTAGTACAGCTATAGAAACTATAAAACACTCAGTTTCGAGGTTTGTGTAATGTAACGCTGTTTCGGGTAGTAAAAAATAAGTGAAAAAGAATCGGAACTAGGTTGT